AAGCCATAGATTATTTAAATGAGTTAGCTGAAAAAGCTCACACTTGGACAGGACCTAGTGCCACTGATAGTACTAGTAGGTCACGATCATCTGGGATTTACCACCTTAAGGAGGAAGATAACCTTAGAGCCCAATTAGAAGTTGCAACCAGGGAACTTGAGACATTAAAAATGAAAAATAATAGAGTCACCCACACAGTTGCAAGGGTAGAAGCTCAGGCTCCATGTTTTGTTTGTGGGGGATTGGATCATTTAGCTCAAGATTGCCTAACCTATGGTGAGATGAGAGGGGTTTATGAAGAACAATGTAATGCATTAGGAATGGGTAGGGAACCTTTTTCACCCTATTCAGAGACATACAATCCTAGTTGGAGGAACCATCCCAATTTTAGTTGGAAGGCTAATCAAAACCATCCCACATCATCCAACAGTACTTGGAATAGTGAAGCTCAACCACCTAGGTCTTACCTTACACCTCAATATAATGCACGATCAAATAGGAATCCCTTAGAGGAAACACTTAAGGCATTTATGGAGGCACAGACTAAGACTAACCAAAAGTTTGATTCTATTCTGACACAGGTGGTTGAAGAAAACAAGGATATCAAGAGTCAACTAACTAAGTTGACCAATGCTCTTACTATCCAAGAACGAGGTAAGATTCCATCTCAACCTCAAGCTAATCCTAAAAATTTACATTTGGTCAGATTCTGTTTCTTATTCTGTGTCAACACGTAATCCGAAATGTCAGCACCACGCGATTAGCATCCAAAATTTAGTTTCCTATTTTTGTTCCAAGTCCTACATCTATTTCAATTAGGGTTTCTAAAATCCTATAAATACACATCCAAATTTAGAATTAAGGGAGGTTTAAGAGGCTAGTGACAGCCTTCTTTTGGGCATTATTGGAGATCAAGATTGAGGTTCCATCAATAATAGAAGATCAAGGAGTTCGATTTCCTCAAATTAGGTTTTGTTTTTCCTTGAGTTTTTATCTATTGTTTGATATTTGAATGTTCATAACTTTGATTTTATATTTTATTATTTTTATTATGAACTGATTTATTCTACTAGGGTTACGATGTAGTCTAATCAATTCAATATGTATTTAGTAATTTTATGCTTTCAATTAAAGTTATTTTCATGAGGAATTTATATTATTGAACTTAATGCATTGGAAGTCTGATCACCTTTCAATTGATTTAGTGATTTATGCATGAACTTGAGAAAGAATTGTGTAGATTAGACTAATAATAATATAAACCATGTGCTAGACTATGAGACTAAAAGGTAATTAGCTCACATGTGATAGTGGAGGAAGAAAAGAGAGTTAGGAGCTCCCCTTTTTAAGTTAGAGGTTTTCATAGAATTTAATGCTCATAAGTTTGTTTAAAATTACATAGAGATATGATTAATTTAACAAACAAGTGAATGATTAACTTGACTTAAGAAAGCTAGTTAATTAATTTAGGGAAATCCGCCATCACATGCAATAACATTCAACAATTTGGTAATCCAGAATTTATATTGATTGATTATGGTGAAGTCAATGCCTTAGTACCTCATATCTTGATTAAGTTTATTTGTTATTTTCTTTTTATTATTTTTAATTAAAGTTTCTTCTTATTTAATTGTTCAAATAAATTTAGATTAATTATTTTGGTACTTAATTAGACACAATCCTCGTGGGTTCGACACTCTCTCATCATTATATTACTTGAAGTGACTAGTACACTTGTTAAGGTAATTTTAATGCATCAGTGTTTGATGTATTCTTATTCTAGTGGGATTTATCCTACCCAACTTTGATAAAACTATCTCTAAAATGTCTCCACCTATACTAATTCTTATAAGACTTGATTTAGGGTATAACAGTTGAGATAAGGATTGGTTGATGCGAGGGCAAATTGTGGCCCAACTGCACTGAAACTGCTGCCCACTTAGACTATATATTTTGCTTTGCAGCCATTTGTGCCGGTTTCATTTTCTCACGAAACCCATCCCCCAACAATTGTGCTCTGGGGTGTGTGTGTGTGTTTTTTCATGGGCCTTCAACAATTGTTCCTTGAAAAAAAATTGTAGTCTAACTTAAAATTTTTTAACTAGAAACATATAAATATATATATTAGTGTTTATTTATTTTATTTTTTAAATATTAAAAAAATTATCTTAAAATTATATTTTTAATAATTTTTTATTAAAAAACTAAAATATTTTATTTTTGAAATATAAATTAAAATATTTTTAATTCTTTTATAATATTTTATTTAAATAATATACTTTTAAAATAAATTTTCTCTCAATTTTTATGAGATAAAAGAGAATAAATATTAACCCTATATATATATACCTTGCAGGCAAAATAAGTTAATTTAACAAATCATTTATTAACTTTCATATTCTTTTCAGTTTCATTTATTATCTTTGAACTCTTCCAATCCTATTTATTATCTTTCACATTTATTTTAATTTCATTTAATATGTTATCTTTAGCGGAAATCTTCTTAGAATTAGAAAATATTTAATCCTCTAACTACATTTCTTTTGATTTTTTGGTTCTTAAATTTATATTCATCGTAAAAATAGGTTTATTCTTATGTTGCTAAATCTGTTCTTCAAAAAATTATTTTATAGAGTGAACTGTATGCAATCTATCTTGTAAAATTATTTAAATGCCCTTAATTTTATTTTTATATTATTTTTTCAAAAATATTTAAATAATTTTATAAGCAAATTGCATACAATCTACCCTGCAGTTTGTTCTATAAAACAGACTTACTCTTAAAACTAATTTATTTCTATAAAATATTTCTCTATAAAATATTTCTTCAATCATTATATTTTATTAAAATTATAGTGTTACTTTTTCAAAACTTAAATGATTACTTTTTTCATTAAATCTAACAAAAGGTTTGTAGAGTAGAATATTTTAAAATATTCTCTAAAGTTTATAGACCATTTAGAAAGGAAATTAACTTTCTAGACTAAAATAAAATTAAACTAATAGTTAATAAATTAAAAATTAAATTAAGCCATGGGCAGAATTGATTGAAACTGTTGCGTATTCTTACTTTTCTTTTGTTACTGTTTTGCGATCTTACTTTCCTTAGTTTCCTTTTGTTGGGTTGCTATATGACCTTTGGATGGATATTACCTGACATGTGTTGTTGGAGATAATTATAAATTGAAGATAATTACGATTTGATTTTAATATATTTGTAATATATTTAAAATATTTCTATATATTTTATAAGATCTTTTAATTATTATTTTGCAACTTATTACTGTGATTGTAGTCCAAAGTCGCCTACCTTGGGCGAATTAAGCTGTGATGGTAATCTGAGGTCATCCACCATGAAACGAGCAAAGCTATCCTAGGGAGCTACGAGAGGCTTTGGACGCCACTTGGAGCATGGCAAGTTTGGATGAGCTTAAGCTCATCCCCTCTATCCTGGATCTAATATAAGTTCGTACAAGCACAATCCTTCATGAGGAATTTTTTTAATGATTGACACATATGATCCTAATTATCTACAAGAAACAATATGTGACACCCCTTTGAGGGCTATAAATACTCCTCAAGGGTCTTTTCTCAAAGTTAATTGAAACCGATCTCAAGCTTCCTCCTTACCTTCTTTTTAGCAGAACTAATTATTGCTAATTTAGGAATCGGAGTGTCTACCTCAAGGACCAACCTTGAGGCTTTGCAGGTAGCTGAAGAGAAGATCTAAGCAAGAGAAGAGTTCAGAGTTCTTCACAACTCCATTTGGCACTGTATGTAGGAACCCAAACTAAAAGCCTTGTCAGTGACTATTTTAAGATGGTTAACACAGGTTCAACTCAACGTGGGAGTCCTCAGCAAAGCCAAAGAAGAGGTCAATTTCTTAGTGCTAACCCTATGCCTTAGATTGTGTCAACCCTAACTATCCAACATCAGCATGCAAAAGGAGCAAGAGAGAACAATCCACAACACTTAGGTGGAGTCCCAAATGACGCCATAACTACCTAACTCAACACCATAGCTACCCAACTCAATGCCTTGCAGCAACAGTTCGGCATGTTCCAACTCATACTCACACAGTTATTGGCCAAGGATAACCCCGGTAACCCCCTCGTGAACCTCTCCACTTCATCCTCCTCACTTTCACTCAAATTGTACTTATTGGGGCTGGCTTTCTTTGCCTTTCACCTACACAGAGCTCCCACCTCTACGCCCGATCTACCCCATTCCGTGTCATTGGCAAAGAAGAATTTATCTTTCCACCCTTGATGGAGGAAGGACCAGAGTTGAAAAGGAATCTGCTCTGACCCCCCCTAACTCGAGGTGTGAAGTAAAACCATCCCTTCTCCTTGTTGCTCCCATCCTCGATTATGAAAAAATGCTTGAACAGGGTTACAGTTGGCATGATCACACCTCGAACTCGGTAGTATACTAAGAAACCTATGATCAACCGAACTGCGATAGGGACAAGTTACGTCAGCCCCAAGCTGTACTCGTTCAGCAATCCCACCAATAGCTCAGGAATGGGGAACCTCAGCCCGGCATATAGATAGTGTGCATAAAAGGGCATCGAGTGATCCCCAAGAGACGAACAAGCCTGTTCCTCCTCACTAATAGGCCTTAAAAACACATGAGGTGGAATGTTGTAATTGTCCACCAAATGCACCAAGCTACTCCTATCCTTCCCGGACGCTTCTTACTTTTACACCTCAAAAACTACATCCCCTTCCTCAAAATGCTTATGCCTCCCATCACCAGCTTCCAAAATCTGAGCAGGGATCTCCACCTATTTGCCCTCCTCCACACTTTCCTTACTCATTGAAGTTGCTACTTCAGACTCCTCTTCTTGCCCTATTAGCACTACCTTTTCACCTCCTCCAACGCTCAATGTCTCCTCAGACAACATTTCTTCCATTTCGTAGCTCTCATTATAAGGAGTGGGAGGTGGAGAATGGTTAGGATCCTTTATTAACTCTCTTTCACACTCAATCTCACTCTCTAACCTTGCTCTAACTTCCCAAAGTGGACTTAAGCCTAAGTCTGAGAGAGTTAGAGGTACGTCAGACACTTCACTCAAATTAGAAGCGGAGCTCATGAAATTACTTGACTTTATGGTAGCTAAGTAGCAACACTTAGAAAATTCCACACAAGCACAATGCGCAAACTAGGAAAACAAGACCTTAGATCACAGGATGCTCTAGTAAAATTTTGCTAGCACTTCGGTACAAATTCAACTAAGTAAACTCAAAATTACTTAAGTTCGCCTATTTATATTGAGGCCTTAATGGTCTCAACAGTCGTGATCATTTACATCTGATGGCTACGATCACGTCTTTTTGAATTTGGCGATTATTTATGACTGTGCTCATTTATTACATGTCACATGAGCACAACTGTCAGCTAACAAGTTCACTTCCTTTCCATTACATTCTAAAGGCCCATCCAAATCCAATGTAGCTATTTTAACTATCTCTTAAATATATTGACACACTCATAATATTTTTACCTTGGCTTCGGCCATAAATTACATGACAACGTGTCATGCTATTTCTACTTGGGCTCCAGCCATAAATTACATGGTAAATTATAAGACCACATGTCATGCTATTTCTACCTCGACTCTGGCCATAAATTACATGACCACGTGTCATGATATTTTTACCTCGGCTTCAACCATAAATTACATGACTACATGTCATGCTATTTCTACCTCGGTTCCGACCATAAATTACATGACCATATGTCATGCTACTTTTACTTTGATGTCAACAACATGTTACGTCTGTGCCCATCACTTCCATTGCAGCTATAACCCATATGCAATCATCGTCAACAACTCCCACATCATCCACAAGTGAATGACTCCTAGGGGGAGCAACGAATAGTGTGATGGTAGTCCGAAGTCGACTACCTTGGGCAAATTAAGCTGTGATGGTAATCTGAGGTCATCCACTATAGATGAGCTAAGCTATCCTAGGCAGCTACAAGAGGCTTTGGACGCCACTTAGAGCATGGCAAGTTTGGATGAGCTTGAGCTCGTCCCCTCTATCTTGGATCTATAGTAAGTTTGTACAGGAACAATCCTTATACGAGGAATTTCTGTGATGATCGACACATATGATCCCAGTTATTTGTAAGAAACAACATGTGGGCACCTCTTTGAGGGCTATAAATACTCATCAAGGGTCTTCTCTCAAAGATAATTGAGACCAATCTTAAGCTTCCTTCTTGCCTTCTTTCTAGCAGAACTGATTATTGCTAATTTAGGCATTATAGTGTCTAGCTCGAGGACCAATCTCGAGGCTTTACAAGTAGCTAAAGAGAATATCTAGGCAAGAGAAGAGTTCAGAGTTCTTCACAACTCCAATTACATGGAACTCATATAAATCTGGTGTACGGAATAATGGATACTTTTCAAAGACAGAAAAATATTCCATTCATAAACTTATCATGCTTTGCCTTTATGACCTTTGGACGTACATTACTTGACATGCTCTGCCTCTATGACCTTTGGACGTATATTATTTGACATTTTTTTAATCAGGTTAAAAAAATTCTTATGTTAATTCATGAAAAGAAAACAGACCACTTTTTTTTTTTAAGTTATTAACTAGTTGGGTTTTTCTAAACATAACTTTTTATTTTTAAGATATAAATTAAAAATATAATTTTATTATAAATATATGTTAAAAATATAAAATTTAATAGATAAATTTAATTAAATAATTAATAAATTAAATATTAATATTTATTTATTAATATAATTTCATAATAAATATATATTAACTTTTATCCTAAAAATATGTGTTTAATTTAAGACACGGAAAAAAACCCTTAAATTCATTGTATGAGTAAACTCCTAGACTATTCAATAACAGCCAAAATACTAAGAAAAATTTAATTACCTTATTACTCACAAATTAAAAAATTTTAATATTTTTTATGTAAAAAAATAATAATAATAACGGCCAAAACAAAATGAAGTCGATAATCTGACGTTTTGCAATAAAAGCCTGACCTAATTTTATGTTGATGCGGGGGACGTAAGCCAGTGTAGGACAAGGGGGGCAGCCACCCCCCTAAACTTTTGAAAAATGTTTAGTATGGTACAAATATTTTTATTTTTTTTATAAAATTTTATTTTTAAAATATGAATTATAGGACCATCCAAATATAAAGAAATATTTATGACTTAGATAAAAAGATCATTTGTAACTAATTCTTATAAAGACACTAATTGCATCTAAATAAGAACAAATATAAAAAAAAATACTCTAGATCTAGTTATATTTAACTTATATAAGTCATTACATTGTTTATATATAATTTTTGTTTGTATAGTTAATGTTCTATTAGACTAATGGTTGAATCTATTTTATTTATGTAAATATGTTTTAAATTTAAAATTGATTTGATATATGCAACTTTATAAAAAAAAATTATATTTTTATATTATTTATTTAATGATTTTAAATTATATGTTATTAAAAAATAATTAAATATATCTATTTAATTTAAAATTTGATGTGAATATTATAAAATTAATGATTGATGTAAAACTTGATATAAATTATATCATATAAACTGATAAATGACTCTCCCCCCACCCCCCAACAAATTCCTAGCTTCGTCCCTGTGTTAATGTCCGGCCAAGACAAGAAAACAAAGGATCTCCCTCCGTTGGGAACTGTGTGTGAAAGTTGGAAAGCCGCGTGATCTGAAAGTACGATCCTGGGGATCCGCGTTATCTTCTTTTTTTGGGTGAAAGCTCCGCGTTACCTTTGAAGTTGAAAAATAACATCTCATGATTAAGGTTTGAATCATTGTATTGTTATATTAATTTTTTTTTTGTCCTTAAATTGTATTTATTAAAAAAATGCAATCTGGAAATCATTTTTCGAAAAATCTTCATTGACTTTTTTGTTCATCTAACTCAATTTTCATTGACTTATCTTTTAAACATTTATTAAACACTAGAAAATATAAACAATACTTTTAAAAATCATTTTCTGAGAACCAAACAGGCCTAAAGAAATGGAGGAAAAAAAATTAAGGATGAGAAGGATCAACAGGATAACCAAGGTCCACAATATTAAGGTAATAAAAAAAATCATTGACTAGAAGTAGAAATCAAAAATAAAAAACATAATCGAGGAAAGGGAGCACCGTTTTAAAAGCACTTCTGGATTATATGGAAACAAATTCTTTCGATGAAGATTTTTATTCGATGTTTCAGAGAAAGCAAACAATCATTTGATTTTCAAAAAATCTTTGTCGCGAAGTAGCTAACTATATATTGTGAAAAATAATTTCATATTAATGGTGGATGTGAAATTCAAATCTCATCTTCATGTTAAAAATAAATAAATAAATAAACAATCATTTGTTTTCCCATACTCTCAAGTTGTATGGGGGTCACTGCCATATCCAAGGTCATCTTTAGGATTCTTCTCAACAAACTACCATTTTTTACAGATCTAGATGGTAGCTGTGTCTCAAAGCTGAAGCTGTCCATTAAAACTTTTCTCTTGCTTTTTAAGATGACCTTGGATATGGCAGTGATCCCAATACAACTTGAGAGCATGAGAAAGCAAATGACCGTCTGCTTTTTCTTCTCTGGCTAAATGTGTGATTTAAAATTTGGCCCCCTACTGAAAATTCTACAAATAGTTTCCACCAATTGCATACCATACATCAGCACCTACAAAGAAAATGGCAAATTGGCAAACAATAATGACATTATTATGAATCAATTAGTTTGTGGATATTTTACCTTTTTCATCTTCCACCTCTCCACTTTTCATAATATTTATATACCAAATAATGGTGTAACTTTTACTACCTTTATGTAATTATAATGGTAATTAACAGTTTATAACCCTGGTAACTTCTACCATTCTACCACCTTATATATAGAATTTGTTATTGTATGGGAAAATGATGGAAGAATGAAGAATAACAATTTCTTTATATTCTCTTTGCTTCCTTTCTGTTTCTCTATTTCACATGATCTACTTTTACTTGTTTCTTTATTTTACAACAGACATTAAGAAACATGCCGTAGTTACATCAAGGTCAAATACAAATAAAAGCTAAGAAACTGACCTCTTCTCCAATGCCATCCCATGAAATTAAGCATACTTGGCATGCCGCACTCTTTTCTGACCATTTTTAATGCCCAATTGCCACCCACAGATTGGGAGGCACCTCTCAGATACCCTACATGCCCCCAATCTAAGAGCACGGAACGAGAACCGTCCACCGAGCCTAGCACATGTAACCCTATCACCACATCTCTATAGTTGAAATGTAAAAAGCCAGATGGTCTAAATAAATTTAGCACTTCGGAAGTTACTTAAGGAGAGGTGGAATAAGAGATAAGATGATTATCTTTTATTGTACAACTAAGATGAAAAAAAAATTTTGTTATAGAGACAACAAGATAGTCATACCACATTCAAAGTCACTGACATTAAGCTTCATAAAAAATCCAAAAACGTAGAACCATAGTAATATGAATTAGAAGTACATTAATTTCATTTATGGCAAACGCACACCGTTGTTCGGATGATGATATCAATGATGGCTAGGAGGATTCAGTAAGGGCGTCGGAGGGGTAAATGGATTCACCTTTTCTTCATCGGAAAACGTGCTATGATCTAAGTAGTAGAATGGTGGTGGATACCACAGTACTTTAGCATCCGCTGCTTCGACGTAAACCCCAACACCAAGGTTGTGACCGTGACCAAGATCTGTAGGCCTGAAATCACCAGTACATGGCTGTGGTGGAGCCTGGGATGCTCCAACCACCGCACTTGGTGCCAATGGTACTGCTGGTGGAGGTTGTAGCGTGTCAGTATCTGACACTTCAATGGCATGGCCAACACCAGGGCTGTGACCAGGTGCTTTAGGCCTAAAGTCATCAACACGGCATGGTGGTGGTGGGGCTTGGGATGTTCCAACCACCGCACCTGGTGCCAATGGTGCTGCTGGTGGAGGATGCAGCATGTCATCTGACGCTTCAAGGGCATGGCCAACACCAGGGCTGCGACTAGGTGCTTTAAGCCTAAGGTCATCAACACGGCTTGGCGGTGGAGCTTGGGATGTTCCAACCACCGCACCTGGTGCCAATGGTGCTGCTGGTGGAGGCTGTAGCATGTCAGTATCTGACGCTTCAATGGCATGGCCAACACCAGGGATGTGAACAGGTGCTTTAGGCCTAAAGTCATCAACACGGCATGGTGGTGGAGCTTGGGATGCTCCAACCACCGCACCTGGTGCTAATGGTGCTGCTGGTGGAGGATGTAGCATGTCAGTATACGAAGCTTCAACGGCATGGCCAACACCAGGGTTGTGACCAGGTGCTGTAAGCCTGAAGTCATCGACTCGGCGTGCTGCCGGTGGAGGCTGTAGCATGTCACTATTCGAAGCTTCAATAGTATGGCCACCACCAGGTGTTGTAGTCCTGAAGTCATCAACCCGGCGTGCTGCTGGTGGAGGCTGTAGCACGGCAGTATCCGAAGCTTCAATGGCATGGCAAACACCAGGGCTGTGACCAGGTGCTGAAGGCCCGAAGTCATCACCCCGGCATGCTGGTGGGGCTTGTGATGCACCAACCACAGCACCTGGTGTCAATGGTGCTACCGGTGGAGACTGCACATCATCGTCTGCGGCTTTAATGTGAGAGCTACTGCCGCCCTCAACAACCTTCGCTGTTTCTTTTACAAGAAATCTTCTGTAGGTATTGAGGTTTTTCGAGAGAAACTTCAAATGTCTTCCCTCAATGGACTGGATTTGTAGTATGAATATGAAAGCAAGGAAAATCAGAACTGCAGAGAATAGTTTGTTTTGGCCCATTGTGAGCTGCTTGAACTGCGCTCTGAGAGGGGGAAAGCTATGCAAGCAACTTGCTAGACCCCTTCGCCCCCACTTTATTTGTAGGGAATTCCAACAACCATGTGCCCATGTGCGGTGATTTGTAAAGTGTAGTAAATATTTTAATAGAGCAAAATTGAGATCTAAATAAAATATCTTTAACTTTTTTTTTTTGGTAAATAAAATATCTGTAACTTTGAGTGTATCTTAAACGAGGAATGTTAAGGACACAGCATAACATGATTTTGCTGATTAATTACCGTCATGGACAAAGACAATGGGTACCACCTAGTTTTTTTGTTTTTTTATTAAATTTCAGTATTAAAAAATTATGTTAAATTTTGATTAATTTAAAATTAAATTGTGTTAAATTTCATAAAGAGAAAGTTTTTTTAGATCTTATTTTTTTATTTATAAAATTTGAAATCAAAATTTTTTTTGAAGAGAATCGGGTTTTTTTTATTTGAATCAACACATTGTTAATACCACTTAATTTATTTGTATTAGTTTAAATTGTGTCTTTTATTTTCTTTTCTTAATAAAAAAAATCATAAATTTTGTAAAAAACTAATAAAGTATCTCAAAATCATTTATTCAAAAAAAAATGCAGTTAAAATATAACTATCTATATCATGAGGATACAGATGCGCCTCATTCAACTAACTCACTTTTGGTTAATTTAAGAATCCTAAGTAGAGCAAGTGGTAGCTCTTCACATAAAAGTTTTTACAGGACTTGTGTTTTAGTCCTTTTCAGTCTCCAAAAATCCCCAACATTATACCCTGTTCAAAAAAAAATTCTGGGTATTTTTTTTTTTTTTGAATATCAATTATAGTTAAATTGTCCTTTAATTAATTAGAATGCTCGGTTTCTCGCACATATGGTCAGGCCTATTCTACTTTTACAAAGTTATTTCTTTTAATTTTATTAAAATTTAATTGATAAATGCTTTTTAAAAACAAAAAACAGCAGCGTTACTTGGATATATTTTTCGTTAGTATTTAACTAATTGAGTAATCTTCTCCTTCCATTCTTTTGGACTATACCCCTCAGGAAGATCCTCTTCCAAAATAGATATAAATACAATAGTATCACTCGGAAAATCGGAATAGGTTGATCCAAAGAGCTTTGAAACCGAATGTTAAGCAGATTTTCATAAGGGAATAAATTCAGTATTTTTGAACCAATACAATTTTTGGGGCAGGGGAAAGGGTTTGAACCCAACCTATGAGGCTGAGAGACACAGCTTTTACTAAGGAATATTTATGTCTTTTTTTTGTCATGTGGCACAATATTTACCAAGCAAATTCATGCTTGGACTTAGAAAGTCTTACCAGATACGTAAGCTTCCTTTGGAAGATTTCAGACCAAAACAAAACTCATTTCTTTGCAGCTTTTAGTTTTAGCTGAGCGTCTGTGTTGGGGCTGTGTGGGGACACATTGTTTAGTTGGATTTTCTCTTAACTTTTTAAGTCTTCTCCTATTTCGTGGTTTGATTTTTATGGGTCAGTATGAGTTTTAGATGCACCTTTCATTTTCAGTTGAGTGGATGTGTTGGGACTGTGTGGGGACACATACACCCCTTAGTTGAATTTTCTCTCAATTTCTGAAGTCTTATCCTATTTGGTGCTTTGATTTTCATGGGTAGATGAGTTTAATTAGATGCAGCTTTCATTTTCAACTGAGTGGGTGTGTTGGGGCTATGTGGGGACACACCCCTTAGTTGGGTTTTCTCTCAATTTTTGGAGTCTTGCCCTATTTGGTCCTTTGATTTTCATGGGTAAATGAGTTTTAGATGCACCTTTCATTTTCAATTGAGTGGCTGTGTTGGGGTTATGTGGGGACACACTACTTAATTAGATTTTCTCTCAATTTGTAAAGTCTTCTCCTATTTGGTGCTTTGATTTTCATGGGTAAATATGAGTTTTAGATGCACCTTTCATTTTTAATTGAGTGGCTGTATTAGGGTTGTGTGGGGACTAGACCTGGCAAACAGGCAGGTTGGGTCGGGTTTGGGCCGGGTCACCTCGGGTGACGGGTTATACGGGTTGTGTTATAAACCGGTCGGGGGTTAAAAAAGTCTAACCCTAACCCAACCTTAACGGGTTACAGGTTAACCCGCAGATTGACTTTATTTTCATTTTTTATAATTATTTTTCGTTAATTTTATTATATACAAATAAAATTATATATATCTAAATCTAATTAAAATATTGTGATTCATTAGCACTAAATACTTCATAGTTTC